CTTTTGATTGGCCAGACTGATGTGGCTAAATTTGAGAGCTGACACATGGTTACTTCAGTTTGTTGTGGATAAAGTCATGTTCTTCTAATCAGGGGGCTTTAAATAGTACAGCTATGTACCATTATGCCGTCTTGTGTTCCTAGATATCACTGCCCCCTAATGGACAAAACAAGACTCTCATCAGTGTTTGGGTTTCAAGAGTTGCCAGTTTTGCTTCTTCCGTAATTTCAAGTTTTACTGCTGCATGTAGCACTAGAAGGGATAATAGAATTCTACTCTCACTAGAAGGTATATTAGAATTAATCTGGGTCCATTTCAACATTGTATAGCTAGTCCATATCAATACTGAATACGCAGTTTCATACTTCTCTTTAAGAACATGAGCTGTTAAAAGCTGGATGCACTAAAATGAGTGTGCCCCACATTTGCCCAGATCCAGTGACTATGTTTTGCACAGTATCTCATGTTGTGCCACAATTGCAGTGAACCTACCTTTAAGCAAATTGTCACAATCCCCCACACCCAAATAATAACTGGATCAAATTTTCGACTGCTGCATGCTGAGATACTACCAATTTCTACCAACGCCACTTCACTTAATTTGAATTTCAGGTAGAATTTTTTGCTTGCACATTTTAAGTTTTATCTTCACAACCATGAGAGCTAAGCAATTGTCTTCTGTTCAAAACTGCATCTTGATTTGCCAGAGTCCACAATGAAGACCACAATGAATGATTCAAGGGGCATCCAGCCACAGAAAACCAGCATCTCTGCAAATGAGCTCATTCTGGATTTTGAACCACATGAAAACTTTACCAAATCCAACAACTCTTGGGATGCCATGATGATGAAAGAATGCCCTTGTCCTTGGGATGCCACGATGATGAAAGAATAATTGTGTATGATAATTGACATAGTTAAATCATTAAGCCTGCAAATGCAATAAACTGTATGAGAAATCCTACAGGGATGGGCACACTTCCCATCTTTCAGATGAAATATTTTTCAGTAAATTCTGAATGATCTCAGATTAAAGCAAAAGCTGTCCATTAATATCAGGGAAAAACTGATTAAGTCTAAGAAGGTTTAACATTAATTACACTGAATAGCTGTGCTAATTGTTTAAGCAGTGTCTACAATCCCTAATATCCCATGCATTAATAAATAAGCTACTGATTAGTTTAGGGGTCTTATATATTTCCTCCAGGCCCATTTGTTTTATTTTGTTCATATGTGAAGACTGTCTGGCACTAAACCATCTTCATCTTGATCCCCAACAAAAGAAAATCAGTATACATTGATAACTCAGTGCAACAAATCACACCTCTGTGGATTTTTTTTTTATTGCCTATGGGTTAGAAAAAGGAGGTGTCCTGGAATGATTTGGATGGTTGGGATGTGCTTAGAATGGGCAGAAATGATGAGCTGTGCAGCAAAAGCTACTCAAGGGCTTTTCCAAAATAGTCCTTTTTTCAATGGAACTTTAGCCCTGTATTAGGGTTAGGGGTGTGCTCCAGGGCAGGATTAGGGTTAGAAAAACAAGGTGTCCTGGCATGTTTTTTCTGGTTGGAATGTGCTTAGAATGGGCAGAAATGATGAGCTGTGCAGCAAAAGCTACGCAAGGAAGGATTTTTCAAAATCACACTTTTTTCAATGGAACTTTCCCCTTTATTAGGATTAGTGGAGTGCACCAGGGTAGGGTTAGGGCAGTGGTGGCAAACCTATGGCACACGTGCCACAGCAGGCATGTTGAGTCCTCTTTGTTGGCACACGAGCCATGTCGCTCCATCACCCCAGCAGCCGAGCATTGGATAACAGCATACATAGGGGCCATGTGTATGCTTGGAAAGGCATAGTGGCGCCAGGTGATGACGTCGCGAACTGCGACTCATTAGACCTGGCTCATCTGAGGTTTCACATGGCTGGTCAGTGTGCTGCCAAGGATATATATATATTTGCTCGTACTGTCTGTGAGTTGGTTTTTCTAAACTAAAACCTCAGTTTTCATGTTTTATTGTAGTTTTACATTGTAGTGTAGTGTAGTTGTAGTTTTTTGTGATAAATAAGTAGATTTTGGGTTGCAGTTTGGGCACTCGGTCTCTCAAAGGTTTGTCATCGCTGGTCTATGCAATCAGCCAATGTATTTTCCTGTATAACTCATAATTTATTGTCTTTGCAATCAAGACATGATTGGAAAAATACATGTATTTATCCAAATTATTATTTCCTCCCAAAAGGAAGCTCCCAGTGACATTGACAATATCAAAACAGCACATTAGAGGAGACTTCACTGATTTGCCACTTTTTAAAATTTAAGACATTTACAATTTTGCACTGTTTTGATTTTTTGTTTTGGAGGGGAGGTGCTCACTTGTGCAAGTTCAAAATGGGAAGCCTCACCTGGGCATGTCCTAGAGTGTCTGTTATCAAAGGGAAGCAGGTACCAGGTATGGACATTAAGCCAGATAAGCTAAAAATAGATCTTTAAACAACAACTTTTCACTCCCTTGGTAGCTGCCAAGGGAAAGCAAAGCCATGAGCGACCTTTGCTCATGAGAGAGGGCAGAAAGTTAATCACCCTCTCCAAGGTTTGTTTGTTTGTTTGTTTTGGAGTCTTCTCAGTATCTTTGCACTATTCTACCCTTTCCCAAGGCTCTAGGTACAAAGGAAACTTGAAAAGTATGAGCCAACTCAGGCAGAGGAGCAAGGCATTTTGCCAACTGTCAAAGGTCATGCTTCCTTTTAAATTGGGGGTTGACAGGGCTAAGCTGGATTTCTTTACAAATACATTAGCATAAATATATCCTTGTAAGAAAACCAATTTTACAAGGAACCCTGAGCCTTACAAATATGTAAGTTTAAGGACAGCCATACTGGATCAGACAAAAGGTCTACCTACTCCAGCTTTCTGTTCATACACTGGAACAGAATCCTGGAATCCTTCAGGCAGGATTTTGTGTTCTAGCATCGTTCCCTCTGTCCTCCAGCAACAGGTGTATATAGGCATACTGGACTGAGGATGAAGGACAGAAGGACAACCCATGGTGAGCCTGCTCATCTGTTGGGCACACTGTGGGTTGTTTCCTGAACAGCCCACCAGGTGTAGCTTATTCACAGGTGGGTTGCCATGATATGAGAACCAAGCCATTGTGAAAGGTAGCCAGTGTGAATGGCTTTAAAGGGGATTAGACATACTGATAGAAGACAAAGCTATCAGTGGCACTACAGCTATATATAACGCTCATTTTTGTGCTAAGGTGCTTTGGGGTGTGGTGCAAAAGGAGACCACGAAGACACGAGTTATATTATACCCTAGGCTGTGCCATCTCTCGTTCTCCCTGCCCTGGGAACTCCCTCTTTTTTTCTCTATCTTGGGGTTGGGCTCCTGACCTCAGAGTATCAGCCAACATGTTCTTCCTATGCCAGGTTTGAAGGGGGTGAGGGGTAGGAGGATTGAAATGTGGATCCCCTGATCCAAGGTCAGAGCTCTGTTGCCAGCCTCAGATCTGGGAAGTATCACATGACCCCCCTAGACACAGTGTAGGAGCCATAGAATCACTAATTCCGTTTATTATTCTTGTTCTTTTGACTGGCAGGGAGAAGGCTGCTTGTGGGATTTTCTACCTCATGTGCCAGAATACCTCAACCAGCTCTGGTTTCTTGGAGCAGGAGATGATGCCAGTAAAGTGCCTTGAGCTGGCTCTGAGCCCTTAGTCCCAAATGAACCTGCTTGCTTCTTAAGATTGCTTTGATGGTTTTTTTGCTGGATGTCTGGAGACATTTTTGGTGGAAAGACAAAGCCATTAGGAAAAGTCCCCTCAGGCAGTTATGGAAGGGGTGGTAGAGCCTGGATATTTCTCCCTTCTGGATGCCAAACTTCTTTGCCCACTTGAAGAGGATGGTGCTGTCCCACCTCTAGTGCTGAAGGAGGTTTCAGCTGCCAGTCTGGTCAGATTCTGCAGGTGGGATGGGAGCTTTACTTCAGGCAGGAACATGTCTTGGGTCAACCCTAAGCAGAATATTAGCTGCTTTCTCTTTACCATCTGAGGTTAGGCAGGTGCTGCTGCTATTTTAAGTCTCTAATACTTTATTACCCCTGTTTTTACTGCTGTTTTGTTATGGAATGTTGTTACCCATTACTGTTTTTAAACTTACTGTCTTTAATCACTGTTAAAGGATTGCTATTTGTTTTTCCCCTGTTTAATTGCTTTGGAAAGAAGTGACAAGAGCCTCAGAGGAATCTGGTCACTCTCACCCCACAGAACCCTCCTAGTAGAGTTCACAGGTCATCTCTTTGCCATGAACAAAATGGGAGAGCTGCAGGATGCAGGCTCATCTGGCATACCCACAGGAAGTCCAGGGGAGAAGGACTTCCTGTAGGTGTCATCTGTGGCTTGTTTCAACTGCATCATGTGCCGGCACTTGCCAGGTGCAGAGCCACACAGTTTCACATGTTGGAGAAGAAACACCAATGCCTTGAAAACATGGTGTGCACTCATTTCTGTGGTGTGAAGAGATGCACTGAGGAGTGCATTTCTGCTGGAAAGCTTTCCTCGAGGCCAAGTGGCCCTCTTGTGTTATATAGCAGCTAAGGATCAGGGAGCAGAATCGATGTTCCTGCTCATTCAAGGGGTGTTCCAGAAGCAGGCCTCAGTGTTTATGTGCAAAGGCTCAGCAAAAATCCAGATGCTGATTTTAAAAATGGTCTTTCTAAAGTTGGGGGTGGCAGGGAGAGAAGAAGGGAGAGTAGAACTGATTTGGTAACATTGGAGAGATTGCTGTATTATGCAATTTTTAATGTCCACAGATGAAATGTGATGCACTGGATATGTTGCCATGCGACCCAATATTTATTTATGTTCCAAGAGGCTGATGGAAGCAAAGGGTCAGACACTAACAAATACAGTGTAGTGCAGACGGAGAGATTAAGCTCTATTATGATGATTCAGATTGTGTCCAGGCAAACACAGATGGGGAGAAAATAAATAATCAGGCCCTGATCCGATTGGCCAAATCATTTTATTAAATGATACATTTTCATATCTATCATGCATTCTAACAGAGTGTCCTTCCCAGTCAACCTAACAGCTGGTAAAAGTGAAAATACAGTTACTTAAATAGAATACAAATGTTACCTGTTATGCAAAGGTCGTAGCAATAGATATTAACTAGCATGGAAACTAATGAGAGTAAATGCAAGGTATTCTACCTCCCTTTTGGTATAAGTACAGGACCATAACTTTCAGTAACATTCATATATTCAGAGTTCCAGGCAGCTTTGTGCTGTTATCTCTGGGGTGTAAGAATCTGTTAGGATGTATACAACAGCTACTGGAATACTGTTGGAGTATTTTTTCATTAGATTATACGATCTATCCTTTCATACATAAGTACATGAAAAACTAAGAAGTACTTGGGTAGGTGCTTAGAACTCATACAAAACTCACACTTATCTATCTCAGTAAAATACACTTCCCCAGGAAGGGGATGGAAAAACGGTGTACAGTGCAAGTAAAGAAAAAGACATGCAAGTGAATGATGATTTCCAAGCATGACCTAGTGTGCATTACAGAACTAGCTACTTTTTCTTACCTGATGTTCCTTCTGATGGATGTTGCAAAGTTATCCTAGAAATGGATGCATGCGTGATTGCAGATGGGATCTAGACTAATTTCAAGAAATGGTTTATATGTTTCTATACTACAGTGCAATAAATATACCTCAATACTCAAGTTTTTAGGCAACCGCTCTAGCATTTATTTTTTTTAAAGTCTTCCTTTTATATTATTATCATCAATATTTTTAGTTCTTTTGTGGGTCCTTTGCTGTTATTGCGACCAGCAAAATGTGCATCAGACTCCAGGGAGGCAAATTTCCATAGTGATGGAATGCCCATTCCCAGGGCAGTAGTCCAGCTGATCATGCATGTATGGTCAGGGGATCACACTGTGGAAGGTATAGATATACCAGTGCAGACCACGAGCCACCAACTGTGCCGTCCAGTACGCCTGCCTGTAACTCTTTGCACTTGGAGAACTACAGACATCCTATGAAGGGTGAGAGGAGCACAGAGACAAAGATCAGAAAAAGTTGATTTTGGCCATCTGTGTCTTTTGCCCCGGAGTGCAAGGAGGGGAGGCTGAGTGTTGCCAGGACAGTACATACCCATGCAGTGCTGATTCTTCCCCTCCCTGGTCTCTGGAATACCCAGAGAACACCAGCTCTGGTCATACTTGCAGCCTTGGAGCTGTAGCCAGGTGGTTCTTTCTGTAAAGGCTGCAAGCGCCTGACCTGACCACAGAGTGCATTTCTACGGTCAGTGGGGGACTTATGAATTCTCCTGGGGACATCTAGACTCTGTCAAATAGCCACAGGATTGTGCCCTATACATATTAACACCTGTCAACACTTTTAATCAGACTCACTACTAATTTTGAGACTGATCTCATACTTTCCACCCTCTAAGCTTATCTTCTACAATTTTGCTTTGTTTCTTCCTTTTAATATACAAAGTGCTTTCATATGTCTTTGTTTCTTCCTTTTAATATAAAAAGTGCTTTCATATGTCTTTGTTTACTGCATTTTCCTAGACAGGATATTAGCAATTTAAGAAGTTGTGTTTATTTGATCAGAGCAATCCATACAGAGCAAGACCTCATTGAAGGAAAGTTTGCAAAACCTGAGCTCCTAGAGTGTAAACAATTCCCTTTACACAGTAATAACAATTTAAAAAACCATGCAAGCAGACATCCTTGAACACTTCTTTGCCAGCATTTAGATTAGAGTTTTCAGATGAGAAAAATAATGTAAATTTAGGTGCTTGGGAGCACTTTTCTGTGCAATTCTATGCACTCTTAGATAGCAAAAAAGGCCTACAGTTCCCAGCATGCCCCAGCCAAGAGCATGCAGAGGGTCATAAGCCTTTTTCTGTATGAACATGCATACATAGGATTATGACTATTACATTTTTACTTGTAGTTTTAACATACGTTTTAGGCATACATTCTGTGAAAACCTTAACATCTCTACTCTTATTTTCTTAGTTCTACTTTGTCAAGGATCAAGTACTAGAGATAGTTGATGTGTGGAGGGAAGATAGATGGAGCTTCTAAACCACCACCATCTGGATTTCCAAAAGACAGACAGAAGTTTAACTTCCTCCATCATCATGCTGGAATAAGTACTATTTTTCTGTCTGTTGCACAGAATTTCCATCCGTGTTGAAAAAGGAAAGTTGTCATCCTAGGCACAATTTTGCAAAAGCTAAAAGACTACGTTGGTTTTTAAGTATGAAAATCCAGCCAGCAGTGGAATATAACAAGCATTCATCAATAGGAAAAATACAAGTACAGCTAATGAAATGTTACATGCACAGTGCAAAGTTATATATGTCTTGTCCCACTTGTGCAGAGTTCAGGGGGACTTGCTTTCAGGTAGGGAGTGCAAATGGGGGGAAAAACCACTCTGGCAGCGATTTTTGGGCAACTTTTGTTCTGCCATTGACTGATTTGTGCACCTGGAATTTAAACAAATATATTTGCATATATATGCACAAATTTGCCCTCCCAGAAAGGTTCAGATTGGCCAAACTTGCATATCTTTGCATAATGCATATTTCATTATTGTTTCTATTTTGAGTTTTGAGCATTTTTATTAGTGTTTTATTTGTCTATTTTAAAGCTATACTTGCACAAAATTCAAACAATTAAAAGAATGGTCCATTAGTGCCATGGACTCCACACACTTGGAAAAGTCTGTTAATGACAGACTCTGTGACTCGACTCTGATAAATCCAGACTCATTTGACTCTATTGCAGCTTCTTCCAACAGGGAAGAATTCTTCCAGTGAAGAATTCTTAAAATTGCTGCTTTAGAGAGATCAATTTAGCTGTAATAGTACCTAGAGTAAGTTAAGTAAGCTTGCATTTCTTTGATCTCAATCAGAAGACCTGAGTACTCTTGATTTCTCTAAACTGGGCTCAACGAAGTTTGTGTCTCTTTAAACTTCTTTTTAACTCCTTGTTTCAGTGTTGAACTGGTTTGACTCACAATAGCTGATTTTCCTAGCCCAAGCTTTTCCAAGCAGAATTTCTTGTCATAGCCTTGTTTCTTAGCACAGTCTACCTGATGTCTAAGACATATGGTTGATTTTGAATGCCTTAAGAAAAAAAGAAAGAGAAGGAAAAAAGGGAGTTTACTGGGTTAAAGTCCTGAAATCGCAGAGTAGCCAAAGTGGCTTCACTGAGGCATTTGGGGCAAATGGCCTCATTTCACAGGAGTTCCACCACATGGGGCCTGGGCATACACAATCCCACAAATGTCTCATAACTTTCCTCTGGTCTGCCATATTGCATCATATCTTATGGTGGACTGCGATATTACATCCCTCAGGATAATTCTCAGAATTTCAGGGAGCAGAGGACATGCCTAACACAAACCCACCCTATTTGTACTTCTTCAAGGGAATCACCTTGTGACAGGAAAAACATCTGAAGATCTGTTCTATATCTATATAGCTACTGGATGTTGATCATGCTTTTATCTATGGTGTACTGGGCTTCACACAGTTACAAAGTACTCAGATACACCTTTTCCCCCTCAGTACTGAGAAATGAGGAAAAAGTCTCCACAGCTTCCTTTCACAATGTTCTTATTTTCAGGAAGGTCATTATAATTGTGTTCCAAACAGAAGGCTGAACATGTCAAAACATGAACCTGACCTGATCACCTGGGACATAATACAGGCCATGCTACACTGGCAAACCCTCCTGAAATACTTTTATGTAGAAACAAGTTCCACTGACTCCAGTGGAAAATAAATTATACCTCAAGTACACTTAAGATCACAGCCTAAAGTACAAACCTATTTCTGGAAGCTTCAGGACATTCTCCAATGTTCTATTAAGTCATAAGCATAAAATCTGAAAAATGGATCATTTGTCCTTCCAATGTGGAGTTGACTTCAGATGCATTATATGTAGTTTAATAAATAAATAAATATGCATTTGCCCTGTGGATATCCGTGAAACACAACTAGTTAAAAATCCAAATACTTCACTTAAACCCATTAATAATCTATGTCTCTTCATGGGAGGCAACTTACACTGGACTCAAACCATTGAACACTTATCATAAACTGGCTTCTATAGAAAATGGACTTCCTCCAATTTCAATCATTCTTGTTCTATATTGTTGTTTTGAACTCTTACTACCACTTCAAAATTTCAACACTCATCTTCTAGGAAACACAGTAGAATGTAATCCACCACATGATAAGCATGGAAAACATTTCGCAAACTTCTCAGCCTCCAGACAGACTTGCATAGTTCATGGTTGCAACATGTACCTCCTACTCACTTCAAATGAACCTAAACCATTGCCTTCCACTTATGTTATGGACTGTTAAGAAGTCACCCTCTTCCCTTCTGTGCTCATATTCTAGGAATAATTGCTTCATGTGCTAGACCTCGCCCACAAGCTTTGCACATATGTTCTCCTTATGAGATAGGCCACCACTTTTACTGGTCAGCTGATGAGACTACATGCAACCTGATGGTTTCCTTTTGTCTGCCTACTCTGTACACATCCAGACACTTTAGAGACCACTTCCAAAAATGTCCCAAATATTAAAAATGATCTTAAGTATTAAACCCTCCTGTACCAGATGAAAAACAGATCCAATGGATTTTAATTACTTTTCTGGGTAACCCAACTTTTGTCATAGTAAGGCAAGTTGCCTTGTAGTGAACGTTAGATTCTTCTAGAAGCATTGACATCTTCAAAATGTCCAGGAATATTCATTATCACTTATTCCCTCATAGCTGGGGCTGGCACATGCATTAAAATTCCCCTTAACAGGGACTGAAGGGCCCAAACAAACATTACTTTAGAACTATGTCTGCCACTGATGTCTTTTCTCTTTTATTCTAGAGATATGTGTGTGTGTGTGTGTGTGTGTGTGTGTGTGTGTGTGTGTGTGGTGTCAATCCAGATCAGGAACTTGCATGGGAAGTAGGGGAGCTATTAAAATCTAGTTTGGACCCCTGCACCTACTGTAGGATAGAACATTATTATTATTATTATTATTATTATTATTATTATTATTATTAAGGTTGTCGTTGCCACAGATTTAAAGTAAGGTGTATTTGGCCCTGAAAAAATGCACAGTTCTCCTTCTGTATAGAAGCTAATGTTATACTTCTGTCCTCCCTTTCTTCACACATATATCTGTGACCAGATCCTGAGAGGTTTTTCCCCTCAGTCTTTCCCACTCTTTGGAAAGGTGGTTTTTTTTTTTTTTTTTTTTACTTAATTCAGAGTTTCCTTTCGAGAGAGTATTATAAGCATGCATCAAATGGCTGTCACAGAGGGCATGGCCAGTCACAAAACACTGATTGCTCACAAAGTAAACAGTAAGTCTAAAGCAAAAGTAACTTGCCTGTGAACCTCAAAGAGGAAGAGAGATGGGAGCTGAGCTCCAAAACACAAAATCATTCTTTTGAACTCAGGTAAAGTTGGTACTGGGGGCAGCACTTCACCTGGTGGCTCCAAGAAAAGTGTCAATGGCATGGGGATGTGTTAGAAACCCAGGCTAACTTTTTTCCTTTTTCCTTTTCTTTTTTCTTGTGCACAGCTTATGTCGTTAGATGTTTATTCCTTATCTTAGCACTGAAAGTCACATTATTTATTTAGTTTTATACATTCAGCCAAGTGGCTCAGGTTGAGCAGCTAGGAGTGAGAATGGTTCTGCTCTTGCAGTGAGGACTGCCAATTAGAAGGCAGTAAAGCCACTTCTGTTGGAAATGGGAGCTTGCTAGTTTTAAGAAATTTGTACCACTTTCCAAAATGAAATGAGCTACAGCACGCTAACCACTCATGATAGGTGTATGAGCTTGGTGCATTAGCTTGATCACAAAGTGCAATCATAATCCCATTTATTAGAGACTAAGTACCACTACGCTTGTGGTGATTTACTTTTGAATAAACAGAAAAAGAAGAAGAAAAATCCAAACAGTATTGGTCTAAGAAGCAATCAAGATTTTCCAGCTACTTGCTGACTTTGGGAAATATGAAGACTCTCCATTTCTTTTCCTTCAGTTAATTAACAAAACTCATTATTTTGATTATGTTGCTCAACTTTATATCATGCAATATTCTGTCCTGTTTATCTTTTACCTGTAGTATTGCCTGATATTTTCCTTCCAATCATTAAAATAATTCTGTCCCATTGAGGAAGTTCATGAAATCTGAATCTTCAAAACTAGATAAAATGAGGAAGCATTTGGGGTGAGTGTAATGCAATGGGGAGCAACACATGAGCCTTATAAGAAGCCAGGTTATTTATCCATCTGTTCTGTCTACTCTGATCGGCAGCAGTTGCCCAGGACTCCACACAGAAAGAAGTATTTCCTATTACTGGTTGACTAGGTTCAGGAAACATGGTAATTCAACTTCAAGGGGTGAGTATGGGTTGACTATGGGTTGTTGTGTTGTCTGAATCCAGCTGTGCTAAAAATCCATGGATTATTAACAACCCATGAAGAGAACCCATTATTTGTATCAGGCTGTGAACTGTGGGTTGCTCACCATGGTTGTTACCTCAGCTTATTTTGAACAGCACAACAACCCACACTCAACCCATATTCAACCATTAAGTGTGGGTTATTGCCGCTGTCTGAACTCAACGCCTATATGATTGTTTTACATCATGTGCTGCATATGCTGTAACACTGGACTATGATCCCTCTCCTACATTTTAAGCCATTCAGGAGAATAAGTATAAAGAATATTGCTCACTTTAGCCTTTCCTAACCAGTTACTTGACAGGATAGAAACATCTTATTTGATTTAGTGAAAAATCAAAATGCAACTGTTAATGCGTTTAGGTTAATGGTAGCATTTACATAGGGCAGGAAAAACCCAGAATGTTTCATAACAGCACTTGAGTGGCCAACAACAGTGACTACCCACAAGCAGGTTAGAAGAGGAAACTAAACTAAAAAAAAGTGGGTTTTTTCCCCCAAAAGCTCTAAAAAAAAATCACATTCTTGATAAATACTCACTGGATTAAAAGTTCAAATTCCACAGTGATTGACCTCTCCCCAGCTTATTCTTTCATATATTTCACATTTTACCACTTTGCATGTTGTTTTTATGCATGTTTTTCTTATTGACATGCACATATATACATACATTAAAAGACATAAGGAAACTTCATGGACTGGAATCAAAACCTGATGTTTTGAACCTAGATATTTCATGGCCACCATGCTCCATTCTAGCTAACTTTTGTCAAGGAACTGTCAGGACATCTATTGAAACAAGCCTTCCTTTCCATTTTGAATGAGTCTTAGAATCTAAGACTGGTAGTATTGCAGGAAGAGAAACTAAGACAGGATCTTCAGCTTTTCATGTTTGGCGTCTCCATCCCTTTGGTTGTGGATTATAGTTGGAGTCAGCTATTGACAGACTGTAATCAGACCTGGAACCCACTGAGACCATGTCAGGATCTGTTCGGGCACGTTGACCATAGTATGCATACTGCAAGCGAGAGCCACAGTGAGCACTGGAGCTTGGAGCAGACACTGTGCTCTTTGCAGGCAATATGGTGGCCGAATGGCTCCTTCCAAATGATGCTAATTTAGCATGGGCACTTGCGGCTGGATGCTCATAGGCAACTTTCTGTTTCCAGTCTTCTGGTGGTGCAGGTAGTGTTTTCCTGCGAGCAGCTGACACAACATTTGCAGCAATTGATTCTTGCATGGTTTGTGGGCCAAAGGCATCATCCACAAGTCCAAGAGGGGACTTGGCTGCTGCTTCCCAAGGAGTCAACCTCTTTCCAGGCTTGTCAACTGATGGAGCTGGTTTGCTAAAATAATCAGAAGCCGGTGGAAACATCACAGGAGAAACAGGTGACATGGATCGAGAAGTGGTTGAAGGAAGCCATCCAGGGACAGATAAAGATCGTTCAGCTCCTCTTTCCTGGAAATAACAAAAACTCCAATATAATTATATTCATTGAACAGCAGTGAAAAGAACTTTGAAATCAAAGATTTGTCCATTGCCCAGTGATATGCAATGCCTTTAAAAAAGTAAGCTATGATAAATGGTGTAAAGAATCCTCAATCAGCTGAAAATTGCTGGAAAATTCTAACTGCAACTGAAATTTCAACCATTTTCTTCTAACAAAACTACTTTTTCCCAATGAAACCTTGAGCAGTTACTCGAATTAAGCTCAAGGAATCTGTAAAAAGAGAATAAGGGACCCATCATCAGCGACAGCCAGCCAGAACTAAGGACACTGTTCTTGCAAGATCATTCTGCAGCAGAGTTGAGTCTAGGCAGGAGACAAAAGAGGAAGAACAGGTCTTGAGCAGTGCAGGAATATCAAGAAGCACAACTGAGATGGAATTTAGGGAAAGGAGGAGAATCAAGGAAAAGAACAAACATGTTAAAAGGCAACCAGAAAGAAAAACTCCCAGAGAGTCAAGGAATGCAAATTGATTTTTACCAGACAAACAGGTGAGTTGCTTTGACTGTGGGGAGCCCAAACAGACCATCCAAAGACAACTGAGATTTGTTTAGACAGCCTATGTGTGCCTGAGGTTGAGTCTTGACACTCACTTTTTATGCTTGTGCATTTTGATTGACAATGAAGAATAGAAGGTAAATTAGATCTCAACAGAAAAAGAACTCTATGCAACATAGTTATTTCTTCTTGCCTGTGAATCTCAGCTATACTTTCCTGAAGAGTGTAATTTGAATTTACCAACCACACTGGGAACAAGTGCAGGCAGCTCTGGTGATGTGTAAACTTTACAGGGGAATCCTATGCAATCCTATGCATATTTAGACGGAAAAGAAAGTCTGTTAGCTAGTATGGCTGACTGCAGAATGCTGGGAGTTGCAGGCATTTCTTCTGCCTAAAGATCCATAGGATTGTGCCTCTGTTCACTCTTGAAAAATAAAAGGCTATGTTATTATTTGTATACAATTCAAAGTAATTTCTCTCCTGCCATCCTGTCCCTCTTTGTGTATATAAACTATAAACTATGAGCTATTCAGTTCAAGAGAGCAATGATGTTTGTCCTTCATTCAAAATAATTTTTTGGACTAAACTTAGATTTAATATGATCAGGAAGGGGAAAATAAAATAGCTGACCCATCCTAATCATAAACATTTGTCCCCGCCATTGTGGTACTCTAATTGACCCTACTCCTGTCCCCCTCCTAAAGCTGTGCGTTGATCCGTTCAGAACACTCTGACCCATTTATAGGAGCAATCCATTCATATTTCACAAATCCTAATCAGCTTAGGAAATGAGCACTTTCATTCACAAACTCTACATGACAAAGCCTCTGCCACATCGATCTTCATTCATCCATGTGCCGTGTACCCATTCCCCACAAGTGCTGCCTATCCTATTAGACTTTTGGTATGAGTCTATTAGCCGTACACAGGGCTCTCTTTTGGAGAAAAGCAAAAGTTAGTGTACCTGCATGTGGTGGAGTATAATAGACATTTGAAATTAACATTTTCTCCCTCAAATGTGTGAATTACATCATTCTTACAGGTTCTGTTGAAATCATTAGCATGTATTTCCAAATAATGACTGGGATCCAAAGGTGCTGTTGTCTGAGAGGTTGCTTCCTCTCATATAAGGCCAGAATCTCCGATTTTCACTGACCCTCCATCTTCGCTGTAGCCTTTCCTGCCAGGTCATGTGTCATTTCAAAGGGACACATATCAGGAATTGCTTTTTGGGGAACATGAAAGGAAGGTGACAGGAACATTCCATTCTCTGGCTAGAAGTTTGCTTAGAGGTATTAAGGTGTCATTTCCCAGTGGGGTGCTTTGCATGATCGTCATATGCTAAAGAAGCTATAGTGAATTGTTAAAGCTGCAGTGCTTGCTGGGCATAAGTTGTATAATCACTCACCCTGCTGTAGCTCGTTATGGCATTTTAGCCCAAACAGCATGGCAAGAGAAATGACCCTCAAATATCCATATATTTTTCTTTGGTGGCTTGTTTAGCCAATGGTGGTTATGCAAACCTGGTCCGTGTGTGTAAACAAGATCATTAATGTGATGCTACTGAGCATCAGCTTAATGTGGATCCAGGAACTAAGTGGAAACTCATGTTAATTTGGCATCTCAAACGCAATCTAATCATGAAAGGCCATGTGCCCACACCAAAATTCTCTTTTGTCAACAGGTAACCACACATTGCAAGCTATTACTTGATGCACTCAACAGTTCTCAGTGATATTTGCTTCACACTGCAACTGAAGGACATTTTGGCTATGAGGAAAAGAAGAGGAATAAATGGTGCAGTTTTTTAACCAAAAACAAACAAACAATTTTTTCATTGTTTGAGGGCCAAAATCATCTCTAAAAATTGCATGGAATAGGAAATAAATGTCAATCCATATTACAAAAAACAATTCCTAATAAAAACATTTTGCCCTTCCATTATTGTACTGATAGTGGACCATTATATGGTATATTTAATACACATACTACTAACCAAGAACATACTACGAGAAATAACAGGAACACTACGGTTGAAACTTCTTTTCAGGTTCCACTGAAAGAAAGGGGGATTTTTTCTAAAAGTCAGATTTATCTCAGTGGGAGAATGGCAGAAGATTTCCCCATTGGAGTGTTTCTGATAGCAACACGGTTTCTCGGTCCTTATTCACTGGTTTAAAGCACTGGTTAAAGCACCACAACTGATTAGAGCACATATGACTGGGCCGTGGGCTGCCTGCAACCCTCGGCCAATCCCCATGCAGTCCATAAACCCGCTTCCCATTGCCCAGCTGATTGACGCCAGGATCACGGCATGCCCATTGCCTGTGCCCATACAGTGATAGATGGGTGTGGTGGGCAGACGTGAGTGTGAGTGCAGCAGAGGGAAGACGGGGAGTCCAGATCCTATGGACCACCAGTTCCAGGCTCACACAGGATTTTTCCTTTCTCTCTTTTTCTTTTTAATCACAGAAGAGTTTGACAATCTTAGCCCACATGGATATTCATATATAAGTTCATGTGCATTTGTTTTAATATGCACATTTTTGTACACACCATTCCTAGGAAGCACACTTTTTGTGTTTTTATCTAATATATGCATTTGATATCAGACACACACACACACACACACACACACACAGTAGGACATGAACTGCTGTCAAGTATTCCGATTTAATTATGATACACAATTATAGCGGTGTGTTGGCCCAACCCTTCCGCCGAAACATAAACGATATCGAGATGACACGATGTCCTACCCTAGGAGAATGCTTCTGCTGCACGGTTGCACCAACCCAGAGTTGCTACTATGTAATACAAGTTAGAATGGCAGCTGGTAAATAATTTCCTACATTTACTTTTCCCGATTAAAAACATGGCTTTTTAGGATTTGTGCAGTAGGTAAACACGGTCTTCATTCATAAGGTTCTTAGGGCTGTTTCTTTTCTTGCACAGTGGAACTTATGCTCTGCAGCACACAGACAAGGCCTTGGGTGAAATGAATGTCTTATGCAAATCACTAATTAAATTGGGTGCTTACATGGTAGGCCTGCTTTATATTAGATTTTTATGTATGCAGAAAAAGGAAGGGAAGACACATTTGCTCTTTGATCACAGAAGGACAGCACCTGTTTCAGCAAAAGTGTGAACAGGGACAGTATGTACCAACAAACTTGCCTAGTATTTTTGTAGTCATGCTGTAGAATTGACCCTTCTCTGTTTTCCTTAGATCCTGCCTTTGCTAAATACTGTGATGGTAAAATCACTCGAACTTGGGCATGGCAAGCAAATACAGAATCTATATCACCGTGGCCAGAATAAATTGCTTATTAGAATTGTTTGGATAATGTTGACCTGTTTTCTTCAAAAGATGTGGAAAGGGTGCTTAGTTTTGTGAATCATTTGGTTCCTTGACCACCATAGCTTTTTTCCTAAAGGTAGAAATATTGAAAACCACAAACCTGGAAGAAATGCATTTGTTTTATCTTGTTCTGGTCCACTACTCTGTGCCAAGTATCAATATAATGGGGGAACTAAAAAAAAATGAAGCCCACAGCCTTGGGAAGACATTGGATGACTATAGGAGGTCAATGGATAGGCTCCAACTCAAGTTATAGTTCAGAAAAGGAATGACCAAACTCCCAGGAGGGCTGGGGTAAAGGATTTGGCAGGATAAAGGGTGAAGCTCTTCTGTTGCTAAGGCCAGGAAGCAGTCAGAAGGAGACCAAAAAGGGAAGAGAGACACAAGGTCAGAGTTGGAGACTTGGCCTCTAGAATGGTAGAATTCTCACCCCAGGCCAGAATGTTAAGGTATGCTAAGGTCATGGCATCCCAGAAAGGGATGTGAAGATCAGGCTGTCTTGTACTTGCTGGACTTCCTTCCCAAGTTTGGCCATGGCCAGGAAGTGAGCTAAGCCCAGATCAAGTGCACAAATTCTCCGAAATGCTAGCGGCTTCTTTGCACAAAGTACTATCTCAGGCATGTGCCCACCCCTAAACCAATAAGGAATTCTTTGCACAAAGTACTCAAAAGTATACATCTCTTTGTGTAAAGCAGGGGTCTCAAACTCAACTTACCTGGGGGCCGCTGGAAGTAGAGTCTGGGTGAGGCTGGGCTGCATCAAGTATTCCAGCACCGCGGTGGGGGTGGGCCACTTATCCTGCATGGCTCCCGGAGGCCAGCCTGGGTGCCGCCGGCGCTTTGAATTGGCCCGTGGGCCGCGAGTTTGAGACCCCTGGTGTAAAGTATGCAATGTATCCATTTCTTTGCACAAAGTATGCAGAAGCAGAACTTCACTTGCCCCACGGGTATGTGGGCAGTGTGTGCACAAGCTGGCCTTGCAGACTCACTCGAACTCACTTCTTGCCAGACACCCATGGGAACACTCAGTGTGAGCTGGAGTCAAGGGAGCTGAACCAAGGACATAGGACGGATTCCCATTTTCAGGCT